GTGTGTTATTTGGGGCTGGCGCGGCAGCGGGACTAGACCAGTGGCAGGTGGAAAAACCGTACGCCTTACAAATGGCATCCACATGGCTAATAAAAACTTGCACTTAAAATCCCAAATATTGTTTATAAATGTTTGTTTTCATTTAAATGGACTTGATTATAAATGGGTAATGATCACAGCCAATTCTTTTTAAAGGTAAAAAGGGGATTATGGTATAGATATGAATACTTTGTTTTGGAACGGATTTTCATTTATTAATACAAATTTAAGGTCAATTTTGTGATATGTATATTTCTCTCTTGTTTAGGTATTGTGTTTATATAGCTCATTTAAAAATGTAATGTGTAATTCAGTACAGATTTTAGATAGTTACCTATAATAGTAAAAACTTATATAGCTAGGTGAGTTAGGTTTTCTAGATATATAGAGATGTATTTGAGATCGATAGGAATTCTTCAAACCTTTCAAAGACCTACAGAAAATGGCATTTAAAATGGTTTAGGGTTTTCATGACAGTGAGACATAATTGCTCTTGGTAATACCACCTGCACCAGAAAGGAAGATGGACATTGAAGAAATTCATTATAAAGTTACTTCCAACATGGCAAGACTAGCCATTTGGACAAGGTACTGCTCTTGTCTGGACTGTCTGACTTTATGCTGTATAAACTGGACATGCAGGACCCACAGAAACGTGACTGCTGATTCAAGATGGACATTGCTACAGAGTTCCTGCTTCATGGAAGAGTCTGCCAGACAGTCTGCAGGACACAGAGGAAAGTGACGGATAAACTGCCAATACAAGAAGACAGTTTAAAGTTTCCTGCTTTGCTGAAGAGTCTGCCAGACACACTATGGCCTATGGGCTGAAGATGGAAGATTACAAAAGAACTTCGGGTGACCAGGCAGTGAATTGTCTCTGTCATTTCTAGAGTTTATATATTATCCTTCTATGGTCTTTGATGGAGTTGAAGACAGATAGTTATGGTTATAGTTTTCCTTAGTTAAGCTTAAAGATAAGTTACATATATGACTTTAGACTCACAAATATAGGATAGATGATAAAATAGTTTATTTTAATCTTGCTAAATGTTAATGGACTAAATATTGTTAACTGTGATTCTTATTTGATAACTGCTGTGTTATATATTTTGCTATGTTAAGGTTAAAACCCTTCTTTTTATTTAGACAGAAAAGAGGAGATGATGGGAGATGTCATTCTGTATATGTTCTCATACTGGTTAATGAATAAAGACTGTTGGCCAATAGGAAAGGAGATAGGAGGGACTAGGAGACAAGGAGGAAAGAGGAAGTAGTAAGGAGGGTCAAGATGGAGAGTCTGGAGAGAACAGAACCGCCATTCCTCCACTCTCGGTAAGACCACATGGAAATACATAGAAATGGGTTAATAATTAAGAGAGAGCTAGCTGATAAGAAACTAGTAACGGGCCAACAGAATTATACCTAATACAGAGTCTCAGTGTGTTATTTGGGGCTGGCGCAGCAGTGGGACTAGACCAGCGGCGGGCGGAAAAACCGTACACCTTACAGTTACCCACCATGAGGAACCTGTATTAAAGGGTCACAGCATTAGGAAGGCTGAGAACCAGTGACCTAATGCCAAAACAAGGTAAGGACATGACAAAAGAAGAAAGCTATAAGCTAATTTCTCTAGTAAACAGACACAACAATTCAATAAAATTCAAGGACACCTTAAGAACATCATATAATGATTCCGCTCAGGCAGGTGGAAACCACCCATAGGCCAGCCTGGGTCCTCAAGACCTAGACTGGCGGGAAGATAGATATCCATGGACTGTGGGTGCCATTACAATGAGCAAATGTGTGGTGGAGAAACTGGAGAGAAAGTAAAGCGGAATGGTTCATGTGCTGTGGAAAGGGGCAGAACAGAAGATATGAAGATGGTGAGGAACAGGATGATGCTTGTGGTCTCCTTGCCATGATAATGTCCAGGCCTAGGCTGCTGACAAGGACCATGTCTGTGGGTCTGTGATCCTACCACAGCCAGGGTCTGGGTTGACATCTGTGACCCATGTTGCCACCAAAGGCCACAAGGATGCCCAGTGTCCGGGTTGCCACCTGCGGCCATGCAGGTGTCCAAGGGCTGTGCTACCAAAGGGACCAGACCAATCTGAGTGGCCTATACTGCCACATGGTGCCATGGTAACATCTGGGCCAGAGATGCAGCTGAGGGCCAGGACCGAGTCCATGACCCTACTACAGCCAGAGTCCCTGTTGATGTCTGTGGCTCTTGTTACCATCAAAGGTCCAGTAGATGGCCAAGGTCTGGGTCTCTACATGATGGTGTTCAAAGGCCATGTTGCCACTGGGGCCATGATGATGTGACTGACCTGTGTTGCCCCTTGGGCCAATGGTGACATCCAGGGCTGTACTGCAGCTGAGGAACTTATCTGGGTCAATTGTCCTACTGCAGCCAAGGACTGTGTTGAAGTCAGAGACCCATGTTGCCACCAAAGGTAACACAGAAGGATTGAACACACTAGGTAACTTGAGGTCAAATCACCCTTGATTTGGAAATAGCTCAAAGAACTGAATCATGAGAGAAACAAATGACCTTTGACCCATATCTACTCCTAAACATCTGTCAGACAAAAGCTGGACTAGGGAGATTTACTTAGCTAGTTAGATAGAAGCATGAGAAAATCAGACTGTCTTAATTTTCATTTCAGAAAGAACTTTAAAATGGTTTGGATGAGAAAGAAAATTGTAAAAATAGTACCAAGCAGCTCTTTTTTTAATTTATTTATTTATTTTATATTCCCGTCCGGGTTTCTCCTCCCTTCTCTCTTCCCTGTCCCTCTCCGCATTACCCCTTCTGTTCCAACCCCCCAATCCACTCCTCTGTTTCTGTATAAGAAAGGGCAGGTCTCCCAAGATTATCAACAAAACATCACATGTCAAGTTGTAGTAAGACTAAGCTCCTCCCCATGTATTAAGGTTGGGCAAGGTGACCCAGTATGAGCAATGGGATCCAAAGGCCTGTAAAAGAGTCAGAGAAAGCCCCTGCTCCCACTCTTACGAGTCCCACAAGAAGACCAAGCAGACCGGTCCTGTAGCCGTTTAGTTCCAAATAAACACACAGAGGCTTATATTAATTATAAATTGTTTGGCCAATGACTCAGGCTTCTTATTGGCTAGCTCTCTCTTAATTATTAACCCATTTTTACTAAACTATGTGGCTGTGCCTTACTCATAATGCCCTGGCATGTTATTCCTTCGGCAGCTACATGGAGTCTCTCTGGTGACTCATCCTCTGTTTTTCCTCTTCTCAGAATCCTCCTAGTCTGGTAGGTCCACCTATACTTCCTGCCTGGCTACTGGCCAATCAGCAGTTATTCATCAACCAATAAGAGAAACATATTCACAGCCTACAGAAGGACATCCCCCACCAAAGCTACACAACTATAACATATGCAAAGGGCCTAAGTCAGCCCCATTCTTGTTGTGGGTTCAGTCTCTGTGAGCCCCTATGAACCCGTGTTGATTGTCTGAGTTTTCTATGCATCTTTTTTAAAAAAAAAAGAAACCTGTTACTTATGCCAAGATCAGAAGGGAGAAATGTCAACAGAATAATCAAGGCTTAAAGGAAATTCACCAACCTCAGTTCCTCACTCAATAAAGGCAAGCTCCTCTAATCCAACATTTTATTAACCAGTCAGTCCCTAACGAGGACTCTATGTATGACCTGGCTCTGCTGGACCCAGAACTCCTAAAGACCTACAAGGACAGTCATTCCGGCTACACGTGATTATCTTACAGAGTTATGAAGACAACAACATGTTTCAGGAAAGATGAATTATAATCACTTCCCCATCACCTTAATTATTCTCCAGGCCCATTAGTCTAACTGAGGTTAGTAAGTCAGGACTGTAACACTTGAAAAAGTATAAAGACATGTTATAATCACAGGGCCAGTGACCATCAAGAGGAAAGCTACTGACAGCCATGTGCCAAAGTGCAGACATTTAACCAATTGACAGAGCATGAGAATCTAGTCACGGGACATCACTGGCAAGCAGAACACACACACACACACACACACACACACACACACACACACACACACACACACACACACTGTGAACATGGTTCAAAACAAAAATCAGCCTCTTTATCCCCCCAAGAACAACACTTACCTCCAAAAATAGCACATCCACATGGTTTTCTGGGAAATGTAATTGTTGCTAAAATCGGTCACTTTCTAGCCAGTGAGCTTGCTCCGAGTTTTCCCAGCCAAGCCTGATGACTCCAGTTTGAGCCACTGAACCCATGAGGTGGGAGGAGAGAACAGACCCCACAGTTGTCCTCTGACCTCCTCACCCGTGTCACCCCACCCCACTGCTGCCAAATAAATACATGTAATTCCTGAAGTAATCTTTAAAATGCATAACTTTATAAGAAGCAAGTGGTGGTAATGGTGGTACCAGTTGGATCAGATGGTGACAGCCTTTAAAGGCTGAAGAAACTATGAAGGAAAACAGCTTCCTGAAAGGACGATAGACACCTCCATCCCAACAGCTCAATACCTACTGCTTGCCAAGGTCCCTAGAAGGAAGCCGCTGTCGTCTAACCTAAGCTTGCTTCAGTGGCCAATTCCCTGTCTTGTCTTCTGAGGTAATGTCTGTAAGTCTTGGCATCTAGAATGCTTCCTGAACCCACATCAGCTGTTAGCAACAGTATTTTTCCCGAAGGCTGACTGTTAACATTGAGGAAAAGGAAAAGCATTAAGCTTCAGGGACAAAACTGTTCACTGCTCTAGGGCAGCACAGGAACCAAGGAGAAGGCTTACAGAGATGTGAAAATGAAATCCACGCTCTGAGCTTATTTACACAAAAGTTTAATTAGCTGTGCTTCCTGAGCCAGAAGAGTCCACACAATGCTCATGCTGAAGGGGCCTGCTGAGACAGACAGACAGACAGACAGACAGACAAGGGCCTCAGAGACCATGCATTCCTCACCTTTCTTTTTGATTGAGTAAAATCCAACTGCCGCACCATCTCTCCACAGAATCTTAGCTTGCTCCTTCGCAGGGTGAGGTAAGAAAAACATGTCATCATCATCCAGATTTCTCTCCAGTCTTCCAAAAACAATGGTGTTGAGAACAAAAAGTACAATCCTTTCTCCAAAGGACTGAACCTTAAAAGGAAAAAGAAAGAGGAGCTGCCACTAAATGAGCCCAGACAGGAAAGGAAGCTCCTGGGGGGCCAGGTGAGGCGGGGCCAGGTGAGGCGGGGCCAGGTGAGGCAGGGTGCTCTTGATCAGGGCATGAATTGATGCATCTCAGTACCACTGATTTATCACAAGGCAGTATGGAGTGAAATGCCAGAGAAGACTCGGGGCCACAGACATGGACTGTGGCCCACGGAGTATGACCAAGTGAGTGTAACAGAACAGGACATCGCCTGGAGGGTGGCCAAGTCAGTCAGCCATTCCAAGAGATGACTGTCTATGTCCTAAAATAAGCCTAATCTGCCATTTTTACAGTGCTGACACCCTTCCCCAGGAGGAGATCAATTGCCACAGCAAAAGCCACTGATTTCCAGCACGTGCTGGAGCCGCAACCCTAGAGCATTAGTTGGACTCAAGGCCCACCTTGAACTCAGCAACATAATAGAGCCCTCCTGCCCTTAGCAGAGTCAGTCATCCCTGTGGCCAAAGATGTTCCCACCGAGTTAGAAGCTTTCTCTCACACAAGCCAAAATGGAACCATGATCCTGCCTGTGATTATGAGTATGAGAGAGCAAGTGTGTGGCTGAAATCACTGTCCTCCCCACTCCCAGGAGACATGGCTACCTGACCATGTCTGGCTGCACAGCCAGAATATAATCTGTTGATCCTACACATCTGTCCAGGCAGCACAGTAACTGATAAAATTTGTTGTAGAGGGTGAGCGCAGCCACAATGACTGTATTACAGTGCTGGGTTTTATCCTGTAACTTCACTACGTGGCAGCCATTGTGGTGCATGTGTGGGCATGTGTGTGTGTGCACAGATCCACCACACCCCCGAAGCTGTGACTTCTGCCCACATGTTGTCACTTGATTCTCGTCGCTGGGGGGTGGGGAGGGGGCTGGCTTACAGGTGCAGAAATTGAAACTCAAAGAGGTTAAGTGAGTGCATGTGTCAATTTTACTGTCTTATTCCAAAGACAACTTGAAACAGCTGGGCTATGGCGAGCTCAGAAATAGACTGGAGTAACAGGCCAAGGCTCCTCCATCCCAAACAGCATACCTGCTCAAGCCCACACAGAAGTTAATTCCCTTTTGCTTTCTCATCCATCAGACCTGGGACAGTGGGAATGGGAGCATTCATTGGAAACATCAGTGCATGGTTGTACAGTCAATTTTACTCATTTATGCACGTTACTCTTCATATGAGGGTGCATGTATATGATGGTGTGTGTGTGTGTGTGTGTGTGTGTGTGTAGAGGTCAACATCACTGAAACTGGAATGCAAAAATAGGCTAGGCATGTGCCACCATGTCCAACTTTTTATGTGGGTCCTGGGGATTGAACTCAGGTCCTCATGCCTGCATGGCAAGCCCTTTACCAAATAAGCCATCTACCCAGCCTCCTGATTTTATGTTTAATAGCAGATCCCAAAATTACTGCCCTCCCCAACATCATTACTATCGTTTGGACTTGTAGAATCTCAGCCTGTATTTCCTGGGAGACCTCACCATTTATTTTTCTGTGAGATTTAGTGCAGGGATAAGATCCCTCGAGTGAGCTCTAAAACATGTTGCTCTGTGTGTGTGTGTGTGTGTGTGTGTGTGTGTGTGTGTGTGTGTGTGTGCCCGCGCACGCATTCTCATTCATTTGCTTTCTCAATATATACATAACACACACACACACACACACACACACACACACGCATGCATGTTAGCATATGACGTACATGTGTAGATACATGGTATACATGTGGAGGTCACAGGACAACTCTGTAGAGTCAGTTGTCTCCTTTTCACCTCAACAACAGTTGGGGGAATCAAACTTAGACTGTCAGGCTCATGGTAAGCACTTTTTCCCACTGAAACGTCTCACCAGCCCACCTGTCTGCTATGTAAGTGCTTACTAATAAACAATGAGGCAGCTTTCCCTGGAATCCTGCACAAAGTGTCCAGTGTCCACATACTCCCTCATTGGTGCAGGATGTACAGTATGTCACCTTCATCCGGAGCCAGCTCTTAGAAAAGGGAAAGACGTGTGCAGATCTGACTGATTCACTTTCTATCTCAGACAGTGGCAGCCAGATACAGTTCTAAGAACTAGCTGGCCTCAAGAGCTAATGGATATCATCTGGGAGGCGGTATTTTTTCACCCTATGAAACTATAAGGAAACCAGAGTAGGGAAGCAGACGGCATGAGGCAGAAGGGAAACACCCAATCAAACACTAGCAAGGGAAAAAGGAGGAAAAATGAGTGTGCTTAATTTGTCCAATTCCATTACAGGAAGAAAAACTGTGTGACATGCCATGTTGACTTGGAAGCATTTCCAAAAACATAAAACTGAGATCCATTTCTAAGCCATCATTGGGACCACTAATTGCATTAACAGTCGGAGCATTAAAAGGGGATTTTTCTAGGAATGTGTGAAAAAATAAGTGGCTAAGAAACAAAACCGGATTTTTAAAAAAGTAAACAGAGTCTTAGAAGGAACGGAAGGAAATACCCATATATGGGGTGGAAGGGCGTGGCAGGAGGGGGTGGGGGTAGAATGTCCCAGTTTGGTACATGAAGGGAGTAGAATGCCCCAGTGCCCTTCGTTAGGCTCTTTCTGTTCAGATCATAAACACACACAGAACAGCACCCTCTCAGAAAATTGGGAGTGGGGTTCCCAATCTAATCTTGGAAGAGATGGGAAGTGAGAAAAGCAATCACTCTCATTCTGAAACTTCGTAAGGGGCAAATCAGTCTTCTTAGCACCAAGTAGTCACTGGACCCACCTGTGACAAAGGGGCTGTAACAATAGCACACACAGCTACACCATGGTCCCTGGCTGAATCTCAAGGCAACATTAATTCTCTGGAGGAGACCTTAGCAGAACATATATAATGACATCTATGGAGTCCACTGAATCAAGATTTTTTTTTTTTTTTAAACAGGCAACTTACAGATTGGGAATAGGGTCAAGCAAGTTGTTGTTTTTGTTTGATAGCAAATATGTGATAGTGCTTTTATCACAAATATGTGATAAAAGGCTTGCACAGAGAAAATGTGGGAAACTCTTACAATTTAACAATAGAAATTCAAATATTCCAATCAAAAAGTGAGCTACAGAAGGATTGCAACAGGCATTCTTCCAAAGAGAGAACAGACAAATGGCCAGTAAGGGCCCGAAGAGATGCTCAGTATCCTTCACCATCAGGGAATGCCCATCAGCACATCTATAGGGTACCACTCCACATCTGCAGGATGGTGAACAAGCTACTTGCATGCTGCTGTAATATAGCACCATTACAGGAAGTAACTTAAGGATGAAAGGATTATTTTGGCTAAGGTTCCAAAGGAACAGGGTCCATCATGGTGGGAAAGACATGAAGGAGAGAGAGAGACACACAGACAGAGAGAAAACAGGAAGTGGGGCAAGACTCTACAACCTCAAATCCCTCCCCCAGGGATGTGTTTCCTTCAGCAAGCCTTCATTTCCTAAATGTTCCATTTACTCCCTAAATTGCCCAACTAACTGGGGACAAGGTGTCTCAATACTGGAGCCTGTGGGGGGGGTACTTCCCATTAAAGGACCACAGATGGAGAGTATAGGAAGCAGACAACAGTGTGTGGTGCTGAGGACAAGGAGACCAAAACCTGCTGGCGGGGAAGTCAGCTGGTACAGTGACTGTAGAGACAGCACGGCAGGTCCTCAAAATATGAGACGCCATGTGACCAGCAATGATGCTTCCAGGTATACACCCAAGAAAATTCCCCAAATGTCCTCAAAAATGCTCATGACCGCTAAGATATGGATGCTACTCAATATTTATCACCTGATGAATGGATAATAAAATGTACTCTATCCAGGTGCTAGACTGTCACTCAGCTATAAAACAGAGTTGGAATAACAAAAATGCTGTGCAGAAGTTGATTTAAGTCTCTTAAACGTCATGGAATTGTACATTTCTAAAAATTGTACATTTCTAAAGTAAATTTATGGTATGAGAATTACATGTCAATGAAACCTGCTTAAAACAGGACCTAATTTTCAATCTGTGTGTGTTGGTGTGTTGGTGGGGTGCATGAACTTGAGCGTGTGAATGTGGAAACCTGTACAGAGGCCACAGCAGAACCTTCAGTGTCTTCCTCTGTCACTCTTACTGCCTTGAGACAGTCTCTCACTGAAGCAGAAGTTCACCACCTTCCTCAGCTGGGCCACCCAGGGAGCCCTCAGGGTTCGCCTGTGTCCTCCCCTCACAGGTGAACTACACACAGCCATGCCTGCCTTTTCACATGGGTGCTGGGGAATTCAACATGCTTGCAGAACAGGGGTCCTTACTCACTGAGCCATCTGCTCAGCCCTAGGACTCAGCCGTTGAGTTGTTCAATAGAAGAAACTACATTTATCAACTCTTTCTCCAAACTGAATTCCAACAAATGCTGACCTTTCATTTGGCACCTACTGAAACCCACAGAAAGAAGCAAGTGGTTTTCTAGACAATTCTGGAAAGACACGCCATTCCAAGATGGTACAGAAGCACTATCTTTACCTCACCTACATAATCAAATAAATCTGGCAGGCAGTTATGGAGCGTGCGGCTCTCTCGGCTGATTCCTGCCTCCCTCCCTAGCCCCACGCCACAGTTCAGCTGCTCTCTCCATTCTGAGAAGCTGCTGGCTGCCAAACCTCACCATCCCAGACCCCAACTTTACAACTGTTCTACGATGCCACAGCACTTCAAAGGCGCCAGGCCTGACATTAGAGGCACTGGAAGTTTATATCCAACTAAACCCTCACTGGGTATGTAACTCAAGCCTGTGCCTCCAAGGACACAACAAAGAGCTCCAAATACTCTGAAATTAGACCAGCCCCATAAAGACTCTGGGATAACAAGTATTCAGGACAGACCAATCCATTTCTAAATCTTCTATCTATAGCCACAACCTGAATATATTCAACAGAAAAACTTCTCAACACAGCAGAGAAATGGGACACATTAAAGTTTACAAACTGAGGAGCAACAGGCATTCGAGATGGGAAAGCAGACTGAACAGTAGCCAGGTGTCTGGTGAGCAGTCACATGCTCCCATTTTCCTCGCTGGCAGGATGCATTGAAGGGTGTGCTCCCAAAGTATGTTGAAATCCCCACCAGCATCCGTGAATGGAAACTTAATCGGAACAGGTTTTTATAGGTGATTGGGCCATGATGGTACATTGATCATCCAAAATCCAATACAAATGATGTCCTTATCAAAAGGAAAACTGATAATGCTCCCAAAGAAGATGATGTGGAGACACATGAACAGCGCCATCTTCAGGCCAAAGAACTGTTAGAGCAACCAGAAGCCAGGGAGAGAGCCAACAACAGATTCCCTGAGCCCTCAAAAGAAACAGTCCTTGACTTAAGACCTCCAGCCTTCAGAATCCAGAGACAAAGAAAAGTCTGTTGTGTAAGCATTCCAGACCTGGTACCCCCCAGGGCAGTCCACCAAATAGAATTTGTGGACTTAAAGAAACCCATTCTCCAGGCAGTGAGGGATTCAAAAGTGGCTCCCTGATAGATGCTTGCTATCCAGCCCAGTAAAAAGACCTGGGAAATCTGTTTGCAAATGTTCATTTAAAATCATGTCCCTCCATAGGAAATGGGCTCCAAAAAAGTCCATTCATGCACTAGGGTACCCATTCCCTATGGAGGGGTTCTCTCTCAGCCTAGATACAGAGAGGTGAGTCTCAGTCCTGCCACAAATGATGTGACAGACTTTGATGATTCCCCATGGGATGCCTCAAACTCTCTGAGGAGGGGATGGAGGGCAGGATGGAGAGATGGTGGGGGAAATGAGAGGATGGGAGGGAAAGGGAACTGGGATTATTATGTAAAATAAGACTGTTTCTAATTTAAATTCCCTCACCTTCCTAAGTCCGTCCCTTGTGGAATCAGAAGTTCTTAGGACATCTTCGGTAGACCACCAGGATCCCTTTAAGTATACAGCCACAACTGAAGGAAAAAACAAGACAAATGCATGAGTCGAACAACAAACTCACTGGGGGGGCAGGGGCACTTTCAATAATGTGGGCCAACAAGTTATCATTTGGGTTGTTTTATGATGCTGGGGATAGAACCCAGGGCACTGCACATACTATGCAGAGAGCTATCTTCCCAGGCTGGGGTCAGGTTTGGAGCACAAATCAGAAGAGTCACCTGAAAGGGACCAGATGGGTAGTTCACAGGTGGTCTGTCAGTGGCTCAGAAAAATAAATATCCCAATGCCACTGAATAAAACAAAATACAAACCAATACTGAAGTATTCAATGAGATAAGAATTACGTTTTTTTTGTTTGTTTGAAACTATAGCTCAGTTGGTAGGATGCTTGCCTAAGGTGCATAGAGCCCTGGGTTCACCCCTCACCACCATATAAGCAGGGTGTGTAGACCTGCCAGTGGGTGTACACACCTGCCAGGGATGGGGGCGAGGCAAAGATGGGGGTAGGGGCAAGAGAGTCAGAAGTGCAAGGCCACCCTCAGCTAGACAGCAAGTTTAAGGCTAGCCTGGAGACATGGAGCTCTGCCTTTTAGGAACATATATCAAAGTCCAATCATTTGGGGTTAAAGAGATAACCTTAAGTGCACTCACTGGCCAGGCATGATGGTGCATGCCTTTAGTCCCAGGACTCAGGAGGCAGAGGCAGGTGGATCTCTGTGAGTTCCAGATCAGCCCGGTCTACAGAGCGAGTTCCAGTACAAGACAGTCATGGCTGTTACACAGAGGAACCCTGTCTCTAAAAACAAAACAAACAAATCAAAAAAGCACTCAACTGTTCCTGCAGCAGGCCTAGGTTCAGGGTTTACAGCGCCCACCTTGTGGCTCACAGCATCCACAACCCCAGTTCCAGAGAATCCAATGCCCTGTTCTGAACTCTACAGGATCCAGGCACATGTGATGCCCAGACACACATGCAAAGAACACTCACGTGTAATTTTTTAAATAATACCTCTTCTTGAAACTGTCTAATCATTGGCACAAGCCTTTACTCCACAGACATCAGATCAGATGTTATCTATGGGCTCTGAGTGAGAGAACTACTTCCTGTGCGTTGAGCAACGCCTTGGCACTGGGCTCAGCACAGCCTGCCTTCACAGGAACTTCCTCCAGCCCCATAATGAAATTATTGCCAGCATCATTCTCAGGACCCTGCAGCTCTGAGGAGGAGGCTGGCTTGAAGACAACTGGCTGGAAAGAGCAGAGAATGAGTGGGTCTAGCCCTGGACTCTGGACCACAAACCCAGGAAAAGACCAGAGATGCAGGATGCCTTTCACAGTGGCAGAGCATGTGGGGGAGGAGCTATCTTTGGAGAAGGCCCTGGAGCAAAGACTCAGGGCAGGGGCTTTTCTTCCTCACTCTTCCCTTGCCACACCTCAAAGGTGCCACCGCCCTGCTGATTTACCCAACATCCTTTGAACCAAATCTGGATATGGACACATATTCACACTGTCCCAGATTCCTCACCAGAGTTGTCCAAAGACATCACCCCAGGTATCTGGAAACTGCAAGGTGGACTGGGTTTGGAATAGCCAGGATGAGGTTGGCCGGCTGTATATGTAGCTCGATGCCTGTCAATCAGTGAGTTGATTACTCCATGCCTTCCTGCACCCATTCATCTTACTGCCTCAGATGACTAAGGGAGTCCCTCACCTGGGCCCATTCCTGTCTCCCTGCAAGTCCATCCTTACTTAGTGGTCACTTTTCCAAAAGGCAAATCCCACCCTGGTTTCTGCCTCTTTGCTCTCATCTCACATACAATAGTCCCTTGCTTGCTTTCTGCAATCCTTTATGCCTTTTTAAACAGACTCCCCCCCCCCACTTCTTAAGCCAAGTACCAGATCCCAAGGGTTTGGGAAGCCACAGAATTTTTAAACGCATCTCCCCTGTCAACCCTTTCTCAATGAGGACTTGGGGGAGGGGGCAATGTAATCAAAAAACCAATCACTTGAACATTTAACATAAGGTTTGCAAGTGTAAAAACATGTGCACCACTTAGCATCAGCCATCACTCGTCCTGCCCTATGCTGCTATTAGTAGAGATCCTGGAGGACCAGGACATTCAAGATAATAAGTCAGACATTCAAGATGGCCTCACAACCTGTCTCTTCCCCCTCCAAAAACCAACAGCATCTATCCTGACCTGTCAGCTTATGATCGGTGGTGAATTCTCATCACTGACAATGGTTGTAAAATTCATGCAGCAGGCTGGGAGAGAAGAGGCAATTAAATGCCTGACATTCACCTCCACTTATTCGATGCAATTAATTCCCAAAATGGAAGCTACTAGAACTTGCAGAGGCATTCTACAGCCACAAGGACTATTTCCCAGCTCAACAAGGTGAAGCAACAAAACTGTTCTGTCTACTAGCAGACTGCATTCCCGTAATACAGATGTTCGATACGCTAATAACATTTCAAACAGAAACATGCTGACATGGCACTTTCTGAGTTTCATGGAGCACAGCACAGCGTTCATTAGTTGTGTTGCTACCAAATAGATTCAACTGCTCATGATGTTTCTCAAAACTCATCTTCAATGACTAAGTTACACAACAATAAAAATGGAGTCTAGTCAAACGTAACAGTCTAAAATAGACCTGTCCTCACAAACAGATGGTGGTGGGCCAGATGGTGGTGGTGCACACCTTTAATCCCAGTACTCGGAAGGCAGAGGCAGGTGAATCTCTGTGAGTTCGAGGCCAGGCAGGTCTACAGAGTTGAATTCCAGGATAGTCTCCAAAAGTTACAGAGAAACCCTGTTTTGAAAACACACACACACACACACACACACACACACACACACACACCACCAGAACCAGCCTGGAGGACACAGCAGCTTCTGGTCAGTGAGCCACAAGTGCCTGGAAATGCAGGCGGGAATATGACAACAGAGCCCATGCCAAAGCTGTCACAGCACAGCAAGGGCAAGGATGTGTCATGTGATGGGACCAGGTGGACTGACAGGTGCCATGGGGCCTTCACTGAAGAGACCCTGGATCTAGCAGCACCAAGGGTAACAAAATGTAAACCAAAACACCTATGTTTCAAAACAAAAACTACCACATAGATCAGCACTTCAACTCCTCACCCCACCTCACCCACCCCACCCCACCCACCCCCTATCCCAGGAGCCAGCAGGCCAGGTCATCATGAAAGACATTGCCAAGGCACTCACACCAACTTAATCTCTCTCTCTCTCTCTCTCTCTCTCTCTCTCTCTCTCTCTCTCTCTCTCTCTCTCTCTCAGGTGACATGGACCACAAGGAAGATACTGCTAACCAATTTTATTCTATGGCAAGTCAGAGTTTCTCAAACAAGACAGTGAGGTCCCTACGCAAACTCCATCCCAGGCACGAAGGGATCGAGTGAATTCAGCTCTCCTTGGCTGAGCTCCCAACTCTGTCTACAGAACCTTGGCCCCCAGGAACTGAGGAGTCCATCTCCCTCCTGACTCTAGGGATCAGCAGCCTGCAGAGCCCAACTAGCTGCCCTGATACAAGGCAAGGAGGTGCTAACATTGACTGTCATGAGGACCCAGAGAAGAAGACAGATCTGCAGAAGGGAGAAGGGACGGTGTACCCAGAGAGCATCACAAACCCTGAATCACTGATAAGGCTTCAGCAGGCAGATGAGACAGGTCATCAATGCACAGCTGAGTCAAGGAGCCCAAGACCAAGGCTACATTCAGGATAACTCAAGCAGCTTGGTGGAGAAATAAGGAAGAAAAAGTTGCAAATGGCAATTCCATTCTAACACCTGATGGACTTCAGCACAAGCAGTGAGCAAGGCAGCTGGCAGCGACTCCATACACAGCCCTGCGTACCTGGTGTGGAGAGGAGGGGTCCAGACTTCAAAGCCAGCCAGGCCCCAAATGCCAGCTCCTCCATCACTAGCGGTATGTACCAATTCTGAACTCAACATCCTCTCCCTCTGGTTACATGTTAGGTCCCATGGGAGAATGTACCTCACCAAAGTGCATTTCCTAAAGTATTCTGTGTTCCTAAAGTTCTCCTGTGGTTTCTAGAAATTTTGCCCACCTGCCTTAAACTCTGCAAAGCGGTGTGAAAAGCCTTTGTTGTTTCAGCCTTCTATGAGAAAATTAAAATAAAAAAGTTTATAACAGACCATCTCTGCCTGGGGAACTTGCTCCCCAGGCAGTCTTCTGCTCCAGTCTGCACAGAGATGTCTGTCTGTCTGCTGTCACACTGTCCATCCCCTCCTCACACCACATTTTTCTGCCACCCCCCTCTTTCTTTTCTATCAGAGAGCATCAAGTGGATGACAGTGCTCCTGATTAGGGCATGTACCTCACCTGATCAGCACCTCCCAACAGGACTCTGTGTGTGCATGTGTGTGTGAGTGTGTGTGTGCATGTGTGTACGTGCAGATGAGCAGTGTATGTCAGTGCACATTTATATGTATGTACATGTGTGTGGGGAGAGGCTTGTGGTCCACCTCAGGTGCCACCTACCTTATTTTTCAATACAGAGTCCATCACTGCACCTGGGGCTGGCCCGACCGGACTAGGCTGGCTGGCCAGAGAGCCACAGGGATCTGACTATCTCCCAGTCCCCATTACAAGTATACAAAGCCATGCCCAGATTTTTAAGTGGATACTAGGGATCAAACTAAAGTCTTCCTATAAATATTTTACTGACAGCCATCTCTCCAGCCCCCAAAGAGATCTTTAAGCCTTGTGTCCTGCTAAGATTCCTTATGAGAAAAAGCTAAGCTTTTCTAACTTAAGTATCTTCCACATGAATAACCAAATAAAACAAGCATTTGGAAAAATCAAGTTTTCCACTGAATAGGTTAGGTAGAGTTAGTGGTCCTCTGTCACCCTAAATGGGCAGGCTGTGACAGCCAGAAGCAGGGACAGACTTTTCAGGCCATAGATGAACTCAGGAAAGAGTTCACATTAGCAGCATCCATCGAGAGAAGATGGCTCAGATA